GCCCCGAAGAGGCCTTTCCTCGGAGGGCCCGGCCGGAGCGGCGGCTGAGGCCCCTCCGTCTCCCTGCCCAGGTCCAGGCGCTGCACTACCTCCTCTGCCGCTTCTTCCAGCTGGGCTACCTGCTTCTGCACCCCGAGGAGCAAGACTGGCCTGCTGGTGGCTCTGCCCAGCGGGACCCGGGGAGGCTCCTGGGCGCCTCTCTGGACAGCCAAGTGGTCTGGGAGTCCCTGAACCCCGAGGAGGTTTCCCAGAACGTGAACGCCCTGGTGTCCTTCCGGAGGCTCCCCTGCCCCGCGGAGTTCGGGTCCTCCGTCAGCGTGGTGAGTGGGCTCCTCCCCGGGCCTCCCCTGGAGAACTCGCCGGTGCAGCGAAGTTGCCAGCTGCAGGCAAATTCCCCTCTTCTTGCCCAGCCCAAATCAAGGTAGCCAGCGGCTGTGCTTGGAACACGGAGCGTGGGCCAGGTCGTGCCCTTCTGCCTCATGCCAAACCAGGTGATATTTCCTTCCCGCAGGATGAGGTCAAACAAGCTGGCTAGCAGGGAGTGTAAATTATTGATGCGATCGTTTCGTAACTGCATAAGAACGAGGGATGAGAAATTAGGTAGCTGTAATTCCAGCACGTCCGCAGGCACCGACTGGGGGATGCTGGTAGCCTTCCCTGGGCCTGGTGGCTCCTAGGCGAGATCTCCTCTTCCACAGCAGCGGTTGCTCGTGGGGTCTGGGATCGCTGAGCAGCATCCAACTGGCAGGCACCTCCAAGGGTCTCACCTCCCAATCAAACAGACTCTGGTTCTTCCCGGTCGTGAACTGAGGCTTGGTTCAGAGTGTGAGCACCTGCCAAGGTTGTTGGCATCTCCCAGGCGCCCAAAGCGAAGCAGCCTCCTGTTTTGGAACAGGCCCCTGGAGTCCCTCCCCCCCTGCTCAGTAGCTGCCCTGCTTGTGCCCCTAGAGAGAGAGGCTAGATCTGGAGGAAACAAGTGGCAGCGTGGGCAGTGCCCGTCCTGGAAACCCGTATTGCTCCCCAATTCTGGTGCGCAAGAAAGCGATCCGCAGCAAGATTCTCCGCTCCGGAGCCTATCGAGGATGTACCTTTGAGGCGGCCTCCCAGCAGGGCGCTCGAGAAGCGTGTGAGTATTTGGGCAGTCGGAAAGGTGGTAGAGAAGGAAGCCAGGAAGGAAATGGGTGCAGAGGTGGATCGCAGCATTGCTGAGCCCCGGGAGCTCTCTTGCTCCAAGAAGGTCTTACAATCGAAAAAGGACAAGGAAGGGTTGGTTGTCTCTGTTGCAATGAGGAGGAAAGAGCTTCCGCGTGCTTTTGCAGGTTCAGATAACATTACAGCCGGGCTGTTGTTTAAAATGAGAAAGGAGCAACAGAGCTTGAGTGCTGGATCAGAGCCAGGATCCACCAGCACAGAGCCTCTGCTGCCCACACAGGCAACGGCCTTGGCGAAAGCTATAGCTCTGCAAACTGACCCTTGTCGTCCTTGGGTCCAGTTTCCTCCAGCTGTGACGGCAAAGGGAGCCTGCTCCATCTGCCGGAAAACGAGAACGATCTGCGGGAGTGCGTGTGGTCCTTTGCAGGCATTGACAGGTGAGGAGGCACCTGGGTCCTGAAAGGGGGCGGTTCCATGGGCGATTGCTCACTAGAGGCGAATGCAAGCCTAGGGCTTCTCTTGCTGCCACTGCTACCCCATCGATGCTGTTCATTTTGCACGGAGGCTTTAGGGGCATCATATGCGTTTGGAGTCCTCTTCTGGGTGAGGCTGCAGAAACTCTGCGTTCTGCTTACCGTGTTTTGCTTTGGTTTCCAGGGACGCTGGCATGGCCCTACTGAGGAATGACATGCTGGGGGCCTTCCTTCTATGGGCCGAGCCAGGATCCACCCATCAGTGGTGCCTTGCAGTGAGGACCCGCTGTGGCGTCGTCCCATATCAGATATATCGGAGCCAGCTGGGGAAGTACTCAGTTGAGGTGAGAGAATTGTGAAAGGTGGCAAGTTGGCTGTTTGTCTTTCCGAGCAACGTTGCCAAATGAATTGCTTGTTGCAAGGACCTAAAGAAACCCTGCAGCGCCAGAAAACCTTGACGTAATGGACTGTTGAGGGAAAGAGGTGACCGTTACTGCAGAATATCTGATAAATCTAAAAGTACGACATTCATGGTAATTATACAAACGGTGTAAAGGTACCGTAGTGTAATATAACTTTAATGCCTTGTTTTGGTCTGTTATTTTGGTTTGTATTTTCAGACAGATGTTGTCTGTTGGATCCAAGGTCTGTCAAATGGGGGCGCATTTAACGGAGGCTTTTGTATGTAAGGATGCCATAAATCTTACATCGTACTGGAATGTAGGGCATCTAGGTAAATTCATTGCTGGGACCCAAATTCAGGATTAAGTAGAACCTGAGAGACCTGGAAGATAGGTTACTGTCTACACTTGCCACCTTGTTCCTTGCAATAGCGACCATAACGTCTTCTCTGTTCTTCTCCTTTGACCAAAAGCACCCAGCTGTTCCTTGTCCCAAAGCCTTGTTGAAGTAACTTCCTTCCTCCCATCCTTAAGCCCACATTTTTATTGTTGTTTTTATTGATCTTTCTAATCGACCCTTATTTAGCTTGCAGCACCTCCCATGCCGATTTACTCAGCAGTATCAACGTTTGTCATGGGACGCTACGATGTCAGGGAAGGTTGGCCTGTGGGAGGTCTGGTTTGCTTGGAACGAAAGTATGCGGCCGGTCATATTTTTCTTTTCTCTTTCTCCTTCCTTTCCCCCCCAAGCATTTGAACGTAGAATTCCCCAGCATGGAGGCCTTGTTAGACAATTACTCTGGGGTTCGTGCAGGCCTTTTCTGCTCCCTGGGTGCAGGCCGAATCAACCACTGTTACGAGGAGCAAGATGCGGCCCAGGATCTCTGGGGCGAAGAGCGGGCTCGCCGGAAGTCCTCGTGGCTGTTTGGTGTCGCCCGGTCTCCGGCCGCGCAGCACGAAGTGGAGGGGCGCTCGGCCGGGTCCTTCGCTTAGCGTTCCTGCCGTCCGAAGAGAAGGGAGGCCCGGCGACCCTGCCCCTCGCTCCGTGGCTCGGCTTTGTCGTGGCTCTTCTGCCTTCCTCCCGTCCGCCTCGAAATTCGGGTCGCTTCCTGCTGATGTTGTCCAGGAT